GTGAAACTTCAAATTTTGAGAGGGAGTTAAGATTTTGAATTTTTTGGTCGATCACAATGGTTGATTATTGAAAATAATAAACCAAAAATATTTTAAAATCGCGATATCTCTACTAATAGTGCTTTGATTTCGATGAAACTTCCTTCATTTTTTAGGAAATTTAAATACCTTTGAAACAATTTATCACAACATCGACAAAAAAGGGTAAACTTTTTGAGTTATTCAGAATTTAATTTTACCATCCCTCGTAATTTTTTTTCCAGCTTCTTTTTGTTGAAGTATGTTATATAGATAAATTTAAAGGGTATCGAGAAGAAGACTTTAGCCAAGTTTCATTGAAATCAGTACATTCGTTTAGACGCTACAGTGTATAGGTTTTTCGGCCGCCATTTCGAAAGTAAAAGGCGGATAGTGATGTTGATAAAGGAGGATCATCCTCGGGTGACCTCTCATTTTATACCCAACTTTGGAAAAAATCGGTACAGTAGTTTCGGAGAAAATGCGCGGACGGCGGACGGACAAAAAAATTTGTATTCGTTTTTCGAATTCTATGCATCCTGAGACGTGAAATCTCAAATTTTGAGAGGGGGTTAAGTTTTTGAATTTTTTGGTCAATCACAATGGTTCATTATTGAAAATAGTAAACCAAAAACGAAACTCGGATAAAGAACATACGAGTTTTTTTTCCTAAACTCATCCTGCATATTTAGTTTTCATGTATAGGCACAGAAGCTGTGGGAAAAAACTCTTGAAAGAAATATTTATTAATATCATTGAGAGGGCGCTGTTTTAAGAGATTTCCCTTTCATGGAACCTGTTCAACTTTTTAACGATCATGGAGGAGCAAGGGGATCCTAACTTATTAATTTAGTTTCTCTGCGGAGCGTCACGAATCTCCCGTTTAGCAACGTGATTCCGTCCAGTTACCTCGTTGGAATCGTTATTTAATTTAGGAACGGGTTAAAACCATACTGTTTTCCCAATACTCTGTTTTTATTTTTTGTAAATCCTTCCTGCTGGTGTCATCATTTCAGTCTTTGAGAACGTTGACGAGCCAAGTGTTGTCAAGTCAGCAAAATATTTTTAAAAAATTGTAGAAATTAATAAATAAGACCGTGAGGATATCCAAGCAAATTTAATTAATAAATAATTGCCAAATAGGAAAATATATACAGCGATGATGCTATGTTTGAGGCAAACTTATTTCAGTCGGTAGCCAAAATAAATATTTTCGTTTTCTGCCTCTGTTTAAACAAATTAAGAGACCAACAGCATATTTTTTTAAAAATAATACCATTGTCCATGGCTAATAGGACAAAGGTACTGCAGTAAAAATTCAACTTTAAATTATCAAAAAATGTGAGGTTTAAAGATAGTGAAAGTATTCGTTTTCTAAAAAATATATATATTTTGACTAATGTTTATTGATCTAAAAGCTTTAAGATACTGCTAGAAGTGACCGTCAATATATCAGACAGTTTTGTTAGGAAATTCTAAAAACCATTGGTTATGTCAGTAGCTGCACCCATTAAATACTACATTACAACACCATGGATATCCGTCGTTAAAGCCGAAAAATCGTTATAGTCCATAACTAAATAAAGGTTGATGGGGATTTGTTTTAAAGAGAAAAAATGGTGTATGATTGGAGAAAGATTATGAAAAATGAACTATAAAAAAAATAACCTTTTGTTTACACTAATGGAACAATAAAATTAATTATTTTTTAATTTTCATTTAAATTAAAAGATTAAAAAAGTTGTTAATGAATCTATTGTTTAAAGAATATTGATAGAAAATTTTTCCAAACCTATCAGTGACTCATCTATTTATCATCCGATTTCATTCTTACCTATGATGGGAAAAATATTATTTTTGGTATATAAATAGTTTCTTTATTTTTTATGAATGTGTTCATATATCACTATAATTATTGTCCACGAGACAGATTGTTATATTTCTAAATAAATAAATATATTTTTTTTTAATTTCCGTGATCAAGCATAGAAATATTTTGTTGAATATTTCATAATTGTTTTTTTTTTTTAGCATTACTCAGTTTATCTTCATTTCATTCTAGAACTTGATATTTTATTTTATCTACTTAACAGGAGTAAAATTGATTTATTTTTGTTTTTTTATGTTTTCATTATTAATTTACGTAAATGTTTTAAAATACAGTCAGTCCACTTTCTTTTTTTTTTGTTAAATCATTAACTCAATTTAAATAATAGTTAGGCTTCATTCGAAGTTTGACTTAAACTAAGAGGGACCTTAACAGTATCTATGACCATACTAGAACAAACAACAGTCATATCTTTTGGATTACATATCTCCATTCAACTTACAAAACAACCGACTCATCGACACCGCTATACTAAGATTTATTTGGACATACGGAGCAGAACTTTGGGATTCCGCAAAACACACACACATAAACACGATTTAAACCACACAATCCAAAATACTTCGTAAAATCTTCAATGTTCCTTGCTTTATTTCATATCACAACATATACACAGATATGAACATACCAAAAGTAAAATCCTACATACACAACATTTAATTCTTCTACTCTTAATCATCCGAACCCAATCGTCCTGTCTCTTTCTTCCTCCCTGTTACCAGGTGAGCCTCAACGACGACTAAAAAGGCAATGGCCTAGAGATCTCCCGCCGACAATGTAAATAAATATGAAGAATAAAATAAACGGCAACCCATTTGCATGATACGTCACAACGCAGTGGAAAATGTAATATAAAAATAAAAATAAAAGAATAGTCATAAAATGCAATACATTACTGGAAATAAACTTATTTTCAAACCACTGTTTGAATCTTGTTTAAGATTTAGGTTCGTTTTAAAAAAAATAATAATAATAATTGTCCCATCGGATTCATTGGGTGTATTTTTACATGGGAGTCCATACTTACTTCATTAAGAAAGAAAAACGATTATGGTTTACTTCGGAATTGAGGGAGTTAATTGTTAAGTGGTACTTTTATAATATTTTTGCTTTTTTGTTTTAAACTATTTTTGTCTATGGTGATTGCGAATAGTTGGAATATATTCGGAGTTTTCTCACCGTGAAGTCGGAGTTGGAATTGGATGCTGACTTCTTGATCAGATTCTAGTCCTCTCCGCTAGGAAGTTGCTACCTTAATATTTATTTATTCAAATATTCGTGACCCCATTGTGCAAATATATCCCACCTTAGGGAAGAGCCCCCCTAGCTTCCTCTCCTATTATATTCCTTCCATAGACTCAGTCCTAGGATTCTCCTATTTCGGAAGTTATTTATCAAGTAGATTTGCTTAGATTGGTTGTGTTTATTAATTTCTACAATATATGTAAAATATTTTGTTGGGAAGGTAAATTGAAAAAAAAAGTCTTAAGATCAAATGACTAAACTTTTTTCAAGACTGAAATACATAATTTTAGTACTATGTGTAGTAGTATGTGTCTGGATAACAAGCGATGTACTATTATTTTTTCTCTGTCCTGAATAAAAATCGTGTAAATTTGAGCTGAAATAGATTTCAAATGCTAATGTATGTAAGATCGAAATTGAACTTATTAAAAAAAACGATATGTAGCTCAAAACATAATATAACAGTGAGCCTCTGGGGTATGGTGAGGACTAAGGGTGTGGCCTGACTTCCATAGTCGCATACTTCCCACTCTTCCCAATAAAAATAGAGAGGGGATGAAAAAAATCAAAATAAATAACAATTAATCTACATGAATGAATAAAATATTTAAACAGAAATCAATCAAGGAAATATGAAAAGTCGACCACATAGGTACGTTAAGGCGTACAAACGGATACGCAAATATTTTACCACGCCATATGTTTCCACAAAAAAAAAAAAAAAAACTAATTTATAAGCATATATATAAGTTAATTTTTATATATAACTGGACTTTAATACTAGTAATGCGGCTGAGTGAGAGGCGCTGGGATCTCCTAGAGTCCTGCCTTTCCTTACACGAGTGGGGAGAAAGCCTTGGCTTGGAGATCTTGAGTGAATGAATTTTGTAAATATTGTATACAAGCATCTGTGTATTTAAGTAGTCATTTTGATTAGTTTAGTTAATGGGTCCTCTCTGATTATTCGATGTCGAATTTCTTCATAATATAACAGTGAGCCTAGGAGACGTGGTGAGGACTAGGGGGTGTGGCCCGAGTCCATAGGCGCATACTTTGGGGGTTGGGAGGAATCGCTCTTCCCAATAAAAATAGAGAAGCGAAGAATGAAATCAAAATAAATAAACAATTAATCTACACGAATGAATAAAATATGTAAACAGAAATCACCTAAAATAAATATTAAAAGTTGACTAGATAGGTAAGTTACCTAATGCGTAAAAATGGGTACACAAGTATTTTATCACGCCATATGTTACCACAAAACAAATAAAAAAATTATATGCATATATTTAAGTTTAATTTTATATTGCTGTATTATTAATTTTATATTATAAATTGTATATTATTTTTAAAAATTGTCTGTAGTGATTAATATGTATGCTGTGTTTATAGCAACTGCTACGTATCAAAAGGGTTTTTGATAGATTTTTATATCACGGGATGCCACTGGTAACTATTGATGATAATTATCCAGAATTAGTTAATAAAATATTAACTAAGCAAATTATGTCATTTGACATATTGGTCCTTGATTAATTTATTGGATTACTTCTCACAAAGGCTTGTTGTGTGTTTATCTGTTCTCTAATTACCAAACATTACCTGTGCTTATAATGATATCAATAGGTGGCATGATTAAAATAACTTTTATGTACAAATTATATTTATTTACAAGTGATATGAGAAACAATATACATTACATTTACAAAAACTAATGAACTATACAATTGGTTGTGAAGGCATGATTCAGATGGATGGAATTTAAAATTACATTGCCATTAAATATTTATACATCTTTAAAGAGGAATTGTTGGGGATTACTTATCTAATAAGCCGAGATCATCTGGACATGGATCAGGTAGGGCCAAGGCTTCAGTCTCCAAGTTGGAAGAAAACATCAGGGACCTCCTCAGTGCCGGGCAGTCCATCAGGCCTCTCTTCTATCAGCCTCTCCTCATCCAGCTGTCCTCAGCTGAGTCCCATCAAGAAGTCTCCTCCTCTCCGAGTCCCAAGAAGAAGTCCTCCCTCCTCTGAGTTCCAAAAAGAAGTCCTCTCAGCTGCGTCCCAAGAAGAAGTCTCCTCCTCTCCGAGTCCCAAGAAGAAGTGTTCCGTCCCAATTCTCTATTTCCCACCTTTTTTCATCCCCCTCTCTTTTGGTAGTCTTTTTCCTGATTGGCTGTATATTCTCAGCCTAAGGGATGACCACGCCCTCTCCCCCAGGCTAAGGTAAAGCAGCAGGTACAGATTTCCATATTTCTGGTGGAAGGTGTGAAAAGGTCTTTCGGGATCCTTTTTAAACACTTAGTTGTCGGTCTTTGTCGGTGGTCCTTAAATGTTTTTATTACCACTTACAAAAGGTTGGGCTTGTTGACCTCAGTCAGGTACCGCCAGATGTGAACACTTATGATGTTTATTTATACATTTAAAATAATTATTCCACCGGCGGTCTTTACAATACATAGCACAACTCAAGGTAATTTGGCAGCACCATTATATTATAATAAAGTGATTCTCTCTCTCTAACTGGTCCTTAATACTAGTAATGCGGCTGAGTGAGAGGCGCTGGGATCTCCTATAGTCCTGCCTTTCCTTACACGAGTGGGGAGAAAGCCTTGGATTGGAGATCTTGAGTGAATGAATTTTGTAAATATTGTATACAAGCATCTGTGTATTTAAGTAGTCATTTTGATTAGTTTAGTTAATGGGTCCTCCCTGATTATTGGGTGTAGCAATTTCTGACTGAGCATGGTTGTTTTCGCGCCAAGCTTAATGGCTTTGGAAAAGAAATTAACCCCCTATTGCCTTATCGTGATGTTCTGGAAACTGCTGAGCATATCCTCACGACTAAAGCCACTTTTGAAGCAATAAGGGCCAAACTACTGAGGGAAACTGGACTCCATATCATGAAGAAGGACGATTTCCCACAGCTAATAAGTAAGCACAACTACCCGTAATATGAAGCATTTGTGTACGGACGGAAGGAATTAGTGGGAGACGATCACTTCAACCTCCACTAACGAAGGCCGAAGAACCAGAAGATAAGTGGTAAAAGTATCAGACTGCTTCTACTAAAAATCCGTATTGCAAAGAGGCAAGGGAAGAAGAAAATAAAATAAAAATAAATAAGATTAGTTAAGTTCCTTTAAATTTACTTTTAGTATTTATTATTTATACTTATAGTATAGTACTTATAGTATTATTATTGCTCTCTATTTATTGTACATAGTGTGAATGAACTATTTTTCATTCAGCAATACTATTTTCCTTGGATGTGACAGATTGTAATATATCCCAATAAAGAATTTTTCAATTAAAAAAAAGGTATAGTATCAAATTGTTCGTTTTACGTTAATTATGTTGATTACGTTAATTATTATTTATAATTTTTATACATTATATAAACTCAGGAGAATGCACAGAATGGAAAGTCTGCTCCGATGTCTGAAGTCCAAGACTTAAACGGCTTTCATACACGATGCTACTACCAAAGGGTCTCTTAGCTCTTTTTTTATGAATATTCCTTTATAAAAGATAATAAAATACATTTTAAACTATGTAAAATAGTTTTTTTTTTTTCATCTGAAATTTAGAGACACGAAGCTATACGATTGGATTTTTCAATAATAAATTACCATCTTTATTTCTGTTAATTTTTTTTTTTTTTACTAGCTTATATTGCTTATAGTATAAAGCGAAAAAATATTGAGTTGAAGATATCTTCCAGCGATAACAACACTTTCAGAGATATGACTAAGTGATACATGAGTAAGAGATATGATTAAGTGAGGCTGTCAAAATTTATAAAGTTTATATATATTTTTTTTTTTCTGTTGGCATTACAGACCATGTACATCTTTTGCCGCCTTAACAAGCCTGCTCAATCTCTGCCAGTCATTTATAGAGAGAAATACTTTGTTGAAAGTTATGCTTTCCTACTACAACATAAGGTTGCTTTATATCCAGCATATTCATCAATCCACACGGACATAGCTCTTACATTATATTATTCCATTATTTTATAAACATATTATCATTTTATTTTCTCCCTATACATAACATTGGTCATATATAATATCACTAGTATACCATATTAAACAATAATATCTAAACTATCCTTGTCATGTGAGTAGAAATATATTTAAAGATCGCCGAAATTTAAGTGATTTTCAGAGTTCAGAAGCAAAACAGAAATATATATATATATATATATATATATATATATATATATATATATATATATATATATATATATATATAAAACGACACAATATTTGTTAAGAAAGTGTTATGTAATTAAGGATCCCTAAGGAAAAACACGTCCAAGGTACAGTAAACTCTGATTAATGAGTTTTAGGGTACTGCGGGATTTGGATTAACCAAACTTACTTTAGTACTGAACTAATCCAAGACTAAAAAATGTATTGCCAGTTCACGTTTAGCTCCGGAGTTTAGTCGTTCCTGGTTTAATTTATCGCCGAACTTACCTCAGCCCAGGACCACTTTATTTCGGGACTTATGAGCAAGTCCAAGTTTATAATTAAGCTTAAATTCTGACTTGGCGACCCGACATTAAAAAAAAAACTAGACCTCTACACTGAAACGGGTATAAAGCTTTATCAAATCTGTAGGTGCTATTTAGTTATGTAGACATTTTTTACCAGATGAATAGTGTTCAATATTCAGAGTGTTTAAGATCATGTATCCTAACTGAAAATATGAATTAAGGATCTCAAAACAAAAAAAAAAGTTTCCAATGATGGTATGTCCATTAATGCTTTTTATTCAGAATACATCAAATACGTCAACATCTTCAACTCTACTACCTGTTTATAGGGAGGAAGAAAGAGATAGAACGAGTGGGTTTGGATGATTGAGAGTAGAAGAATGAAATGTTGTGTATGTGTATGTAGGATTTTACGTTTGGTATGTTCACGTCTGTGTGTATGGTATGATTTGAAAAAAAATCAGTGAGTGTTGATTATTTCACGAAGTATTTTGGATTGTGTGGTTTGAATCTCGTTTATATGTGTGTGTGTGTTTTGCGGAACCTTAAATTTCTGCTCCGTATATCCAAATAGGTCTTAGTATAGCGGTATAGATTAGTAGCTTGTTTTGTTTCGAGGCCAAACTTAAACGATTAATGAACTGCGCTATACGTTTTGTTTCCGGAATCTCAAGAGATACGTATATAACCCAATATTACACTAAGTTGAAGTGGCTCTATCCATCCGACCTCCGTCTGTACTTCCTTGCTATCTTTCTATACCAAGTCTTTAGAACTCATCGACCTTCCTATATTTTTCATAGCCTACAATACAAATATTCCATTTGCCTACTTGATCTCGTACCTCCGACCTCTATCCACCTCCCCACCGAACTACAGAGTTTGAAAAATCCTTTATAATTCAAACCGTTTCCTTCTGGAATACCATCCCTCCCGATATCCGACATGCGCAATCAGTTTCCTCATTTAAATCTCTCCTTTTTAAGCACCTAATCCTTTCCCAACCCGAGTGATCATGAAAAGTAGATAAGAGAACTTTTTAAGTTCCCCCAGAAATGATTTTCTTTACTTATGCTATTTTATTTTCCCACATTTGTATTATACATATCAGGATGTTCATCGTCTATTATGAAAAATTATCACTCGCTGTGACAACAGGGAATTAACTTTTGAGCAATTTGAAATCGACTTGAGAGAATTATAAGTTGCTTTATTTAGATCATTTTGCGGAGAATACTAGTACATACTCACATAACAGAGAAACAGAAATAAAAATTTTGTTGGAGAAGTAAGTTATTTAAAAAATAATTTAAATTGTTCAGTGCATTAAACAAAACTATTACTACAAAGCTATGGAACTAAGGACGCTTCTGCCAAAAATAATTTTTTTTTTTTAGTGATTCGTACTTATAAAATAAATTTCTGGAGTTATTCAGTCACATCGGATGAAACCGCAGAGCATATATATATATTATTTTATAATAATATCATTTAAAATTATGCTAACATTAATAAACAATTATGCCATAAGAAAAATAATAATTCAAAGAGGGCTTGAATCAAGAGAGGCATATTCTTATGGCATTTTCGTCCGAGGCTCAGGCCTGTCTCAGTTAGAGAATAATTACGGTAATTAGAACGAATAAGAGATGGGCCTGACGTCATCAGGTTACGTAACGGAAACTCGTCAACAAACGGTGCTCCTCGAATCTATTACGACCGAAGTGGCAGTGGGAGGCTATCATGTTACGGGCGCGATATCTTATCGGGGTGAGGTACCCACCTTCTGATGAGTTCACGCTTTCTGATAAGCCGGTGACGAGCACTGTTGGTGCTCAATTGCCGAAAAAGTACAGACTTTCACCAATTTCGTTTCCTCGTTTCTGGGATTGTAGGAGATGAGAAGAGTCGATAATAGTATAGCGTGTGTATGGAATAAACAAGATAGATAAAATTATTTAAAAAAAAATAAAGAAATAAATAATTAAACCAAAATAATATAATAACGTTGAATCGTACATACTGTGTGCTAGAAATCCTTTTCTAATTCAATAATCCAGTCTAATTTATTACTTATAGTGGATTAATAATTGACTGTCGTATGTATATTGAAGAGAGGTTTGTTGGGTGTTTCAGTCAAAGAAGTAAAAAAGTAAAAATAAATAAATTATATATATATATATACATTTTTTTTTCTCGTCTCTACCCTGAAGGGTCATAGGCGTTGTCTATAATTTATATTCTATTATAATAATTTGCAATAATTAAAAATTTAAGCACGATAGAGAATCACTCTTCATTATCTTGAAGAATATTGTTTAGTGTTCTTCCTAGATCTGTTTTATTTCTGTGGCTTTCGAATTGGGGACATTCTACCAGAAGGTGTTTCACACACAATGCATTTTTCGCAAGTAGCAGCTTCTAAACCTCTTAAAAGATAACTATGGATGAACTGGCAGTGCCCAATCCTAAGACGGCTCAGTATAATTTCTTTACGCCTGGAACTTCTGGTGCTAGTGAGCCACGCATCGCAATTAGATTTCACTTCTTTCAGCTTACACCCTTTGATTTTCCAATCTTTTTCCCACTCTGCAAGTTGTTTTTTCTTTATTTCGCATACCCAGTCTTCTAAAGTGATATATTTCAATCTAGTCGCTCTTCAACTAATTTATTAATAACGGACAAATTTCTAAACTTAGCGCCGAAATCATCAATGGCGTCAGAAA